CCACTTAAAGACTTCCTTAGTCCTTAAAAGGGTAGCTTGCGTTGGTGGTATAGTGGTGAGCATAGCTGCCTTCCACCTTAAAATAACAATAACAAAATTCTTTACAGAAAATATCTTGATTACCTAACCTTTCCTACTCTATCAGACTGATTATTAAATATCATTTACAGTGACTCCCAAATACACAAGTGCACCAACTTTTTCTAGTCATAAAGCTTTAACATCTCCTAGTTTAGTTGCTTAGAATATTCTTCCTCTTATTCTGCATGTTAGACACTGATTTTATTTTTTGCTTTTTGGGTCACACCTGGCGATGCACAGGGGTTACTCCTGGCTCATGCACTCAGGAATTACTTCTGGTGGTGCTTGGGGGATCATATGGGATGATGGGAATCCAATCCGGGTTGGCCACATGCAAGACAAACGCCCCATCCACTCTGCTATCACTTCAGCGCCTTGACACTGATATTGAACATGCTCCCCTACTTTCTATTTTTAATGTTCTATAAGCTCTTTAACTCCTCTCAGCCTAAATTTCATGCATTAAATATAAAAATATAACTCAAAATTAATGTAAAAATTAGATCATATATAATGCATAGTACTTATATACAGTAAGTGCCTAATACATTTGAATATTTTAGGGTTTTATTTGTTTTTTATTGCTCTTTAGGAAAAACAAAAACGATCATTTTAAATCTTTTTGTACCATGAAAATTCACAGGTAGGATACAGGTAGGAAGTAGGAGTGTGTAAGCTAATAGGAATACATGGAGGAAGTGGGAGTGTGTAAATTAGTAGGAACACAGGTAGGAGTGAAAGTGTGTAAGTTATTAGGAATACAGATAGGAAGTGGGAGTGTATAAGTTAGGATGAAAACAGATAGGAAGTGGGAGTGTGTAAGTTAGTAGGAGCCTGAACCACACAGCCTAGTAGGAAGAGCATGTAAGTTAGAAGAACAGAGTCTGAACACAAAGACTCTGTCTCCTCCCTCAAGAACCCCCATATCCCACACACCACACCCACACACACACACACACACACACACACTTTATATATTCCACTTCCTTCTGTGAACTCAGGGTATTCCTGTGGCTCCAATCCTTTCCTAACCGTTAGACCATGGGACTTGATTCTGCCCCTATTTGTCTTGAGAAAAAAATTATATAAAGCAGCAGTGGCACACAGATAATAGCACAGAGATAAGTAACAACACTGTGAATGGTAAACCCTACTTCTTCTGAGGCCCTCTAGAATTCAAAACTCCACCTTAGCACTCAGAAAGTCACAGTCACAGTCACAGTCACAGTCCTCCCGTTGTTCATCGATTTTGCTTGAGCGGGCCCAGTAATGTCTCCATTGAAGACTTTGCTGTTACTGTGTTTGGCATATCGAATACATCACAGATAGCTTGCCAGGCTCTGCCGTGAGGGCGAGATACTCTCAGTAGCTTGCCAGTCTCTCCGAAAGAGGCGGAGGAATCGAACTTGGGTCGGCCATGTTGGCTGCATGCAAGGCAAACGCCCTACCACTGTGCTATCGCTCCAGTCACTCAGAAAGTACAAGGGGTATAAAATAAAAAAATAAAAAATAATAAAATTATCCAGCTGCTTCTACAAAGGGGTGGACTTATTTGTATATAAAGTTTAACACTGTCTGAAAATGGCCTAAATTTTCCATATAAGTGTTATTTTAAAATTCATTATATGAGAAATCAATACAGCATCAAGAAATGTTAAAAAAAATAATTAATTGAAACCTAAAGGAATGAATTAAAGAATACAATTTCAGGTCACAGTAGCTTCATAAAAGTTGCCCAAATATGAATCAGTGATTCCTAAAGCAGAGAATAATATCACTTGATCACTTGATCCCCCGTTATTCATTGATTTACTTGAGTGGGTGCCAGTAACATCTCATTCATCCCTGTTGCATGCTAGCGTAGCCCAATGGCATCTGTTCGTTCTAGGAACATGCAAAGCCTCAAACCAATCATTCAGGGTCTTGACAAAGAAGTCTGACCATCTTGTAGGTGGGCGTACATGCAATCTTTTGATGTCCCATGGAATCCAGTCAGTGATGGCTTTAGTCCAGCGGTTGTCTGTAAACCTCATTACATGTCCAGCCCATCTGATTTTTGATGCCTTGGCAAATGAGACAGTGTCCCTATTTCTTGAGCATTGACGGAGATCAGAACTCCAGATCTATCTCTCATTTAAGTGAATCGTGATATTCCAAGCATAGCTCTTTCGATTCCTCTTTGAGAGACCCGAATAGTGTTCTCATCCTGTTTTCGTAGGGCCCAGGTCTCTGAGGCATATGTTAATGCAGGAAGAACAGTGGAATCGAAGAGATGTGCTCGTAGCTGGAGGTTCTTTGTCCTCTTAGTTATTTCTTCAACGCTCTTGAAGGAATTCCAAGCCACTCTCTTCCTCCTGTGCAGCTTGGGTGCCAGGTCATTTGTCATGTTGACTTCTCGACCTAGGTATATATAACTATTGCATTCAGAGATGGTGGTTCCGTTGAGAGCAAATGGAGCGTCAGGAACAAGGCTGTTTCTCATAAACATTGTCTTCGTAAGATTCAGCTGTAGTCCTACCTTTCCACATTCACGGTCAAAGTCGTTCAGCATTTGTGCCGCTTGGCTGATGTTTGGTGTTATTAGAACGATGTCATCAGCAAAGCGGAGGTGGTGTAGTTGCCGACCATCTATCTTCACTCCCATTCTTTCCCATTCCAGTCATCGCATGATGTTCTCGAGGGTGGCACTGAAGAGTTTAGGTGAAATGGTATCACCCTGCTGAACCCCTCTCTTGACATGGATAATTACTTCTTTGTAGAATGGTGAGATCCTGTTAGTGAATCCATAATAGAGTTCACGAAGGATCCTGATGTATTGAGTTTGTACGCCTGATTGGCTAGGGCTTCTATGACCGCTTCCATCTCAACAGAATCAAAGGCCTTCTTTAAATCAATGAACGTTAGACAGAGCGGCATCTTGAACTCCTGAGAAACCTCAACGAGCTTAGTAATCATGTGGATATGGTCGATGGTACTGAATCCTTTTCGGAATCTGGCTTGTTCACATGGTTGTCCTTCATCTAATGTTCTGCTAATCCTATTCAGGATGACTCGAGTGAACAGTTTGTAGATAACAGACAATAAGCAGATTGGTCGATAGTTGCCAATGTGGTGGATGTCTCCCTTCTTGTATAGTAGTACAGTCTTGCTGGTTTTCCATTGGGATGGAACCTTGCATTCAGACAGGTAGCGTGTGAAGAGCCGAGCCAGTGTATTGATGAGTACCGATGGTAAGTTCTTCAGGTGTTCAGGTCTTATCTTGTCTGGGCCAGGTGCTCTTTGTTTCTTTACTGACGAGATGGCATGTTGGATTTCGGAAGGGAGAACATTGGGAACGACATATCCATCATGCGGAATGTGGTATGTGGGCAAGTGGACATGGCTATTAAAGAGATCTGAGTAGAAGTCATGAATAATCTTCTCCATTGCCCTTCTGGAAGATGTGATAGATCCATCAGGATGTCGGAGGGCAGTCATCTTGGTCTTGTAGTTGGTGAAGGACAGGCGGGCATTATGAATGCTTTTCCCGGCTTCTGCCGCATCTACCAACACCGCTGCTCTCCTGTCTTTGAGGTCATCCTTGATGGCTTCTCTGCATTGTTTTGCCAGCTCAGAAGTTCACTTGTGGTTGCCTGAGGCATGTGCCAAGCCACCTTGGCAAATAAGTTCAAGAGTGTTCGAAGAAAGGCGGTTTTTTGTGGTTTTCTCTCTCTTGGCATTCCTCGCACAATCAAGGAGGTGCTGAATCATTCTATCGTATTCCTCATCAATGTTGTCAATGACGGCATCTTCCCATGTTGCTGCAACAGAGCCAAAGAGCTCCCAGTTGGTGGTCATTCTGGGAGTTCTCTTCTTAAACTTTGCATTCGTTTCTCCTCGTTCTGTGAGGTAGAATTTTGCACAAAGGAGACAGTGGTCCAATCCCATTTGGAATTTTGGGACAACAGCAACATCAGTTAGGCAAAACCGCTGATTGAATATGATGTGGTCTATTTCATTGTGGAACTGTCCACCAGGAGACTCCCATATCCAACGTTTAGATTCAGCCTTTTGGAATTGTGAGTTACCATGTAAGGTCTTGGTTGACATGATGAACTCAGTCTGTCACCCTGTTCGTTCCATTTTAGGCCCTGGGTCCCGATGTGTAGTTCATCGGCTGATCTTCTTGCTCCTATCTTGGCATTAAAATCACTGACAATGATCTTGTAGAAGGTGTGATCTTCTTTAGAGAACTTCTCCAGCTCCATGTAGAACTTCTCAATTTCTCTTTCACCATAATTGGATGTTGGTGCATAGACAACAAAGATAGAAACTGCCGGCAGTGAGCCACATCTATTCAAGTGTAATCGTCTGATTCGGGTTGTTAGGCATTCAAATGAATCAATGCTCATGGCTAAGTTTGTGTTGACAAGGATACCGACACCACTGACGCCTCTTTTGTCACATGTTCCAAGGAACAGTTCTACTCCAGTGTTGAAAACAGTGTGATGTGATTGATGTCTTCTCGTTTCAGTCAGACCAATGATGTCGTACTTAATCTTTCGCGCTTGTACCATCAGGTCCTCGATGGATGCATCAGAGGCCAGTGTATGTGCATTAAAAGTACAGACAATCATTTTTGTCTTTCTTCGTTTTGGCAGCCTATTTCTGCCTTGGGATTTTATCAGCCTCTCCTTCCACATCCTTCTTGATTCTGCCATATTCAGGGTCAGGGGAATGAGATCCATTTTTTTACTGGATTTGGCATATCAAATAGACCATGGATAGCTTGCCAGGCTCTACTGTGTGGGTGGGATATTTAAGGTACCCTGAAAAATTAAATGAATGTAAATATAATAAAGAGAATATAATAAATATAATAAAGAGAATAATATATCAAGAAAAAAATAAAAGTAAACAGAAAATTAAAAATATGTGCCTTCTTTCTGGTGCTTGCCACAGGCTGTGTTTTTCATCCCAACTGTATAGAAAGAGGAGTCACAGTATCCCACCCCATATACACCTCAGCCCAGAAACTTTGCCTGGTCTCATTATAAGTGGGGAGACATGTAGAGAGGTGAAAATTAAAAAGAATTAATAAACTTTAAGATTTTAATGGACAGCAACACAGTAACAACTTCAGAATATTAGAAATACCAGAAAAAGAAAAAATCAAAAATGAGAAGAGAGATTCATTAAGGAGATAATAGCCAAAAACTTCCCCAATCTGAAAAGGAGGCCTGTGTACAGATCTAAGAAGCCCAAAGACTTCCAAACAAAATAAACTCAAATAAAGCAGCAGCAAGACAGAATTAAATTAAAATGGCAAGAATCAAAACAAGAAACAAGACAAGAATCAAAACAGCAAGAGAAGCAAAATCTCAACTACAAGGAACCTGACATAAAATTCACTTCAGATTGTTCAGGTGAAACTCTTTGAGAAGAAGTAAGGGAATAGCATATTCAAAGTACTGAATGAAAGGTACTTCCAATCAATGGTCCTCTTCCCTGTATGACTATCCTTCAGAGTTGAAGAAGAAATAAAAGCATTCCCAGAAAAATACAGCTGAAGGTATTAGTTAGATCCAAGCCAGTCCTAAAATGAGCACTGGATAGTCTTCTAAAAAAAGTCAACTAATCCCAGTGTAAAAAAAGACTTAAACCCTCATAGAAATATGATTTTAAACTTGTTCACATAAATAATTTCACCTAATGTTAATGGGCTCAATTCTGCCATCAAAAGGCACAGCACAGCTGGTTAGAAGAGAAATAAAATGCAACATTCTGCTGCTACACACAGTTGAAATCACATAATAAATGCAGGTTCAAGTGAAATGATGAAAAATATTCATACAAGCTAGCAGTCAAAAAACAGAAGGCATTGCAGGAATGATAGTACAGTGGGTAGGCACCTGCCTTGCATTTGGCAGACCCAGTTTGATCCTGGGCATCCCTTGCATTCCTTTGCATTCCTGAATGCAAAGCCAAGAATAATCCCTGAATATCACCAAGAACAGTGCAGTCTCTGACCCCGCGCCTGGGTGTTCCTTCCTGGAGTCCCTTGGAGGGGAGCGGGTTGAGCTTTCCTCCCCGCCCCGACCAGGGCTCCGGCAGCCGAAGACCTCCAGGACCAGCCACCACCATGCTGAGACCACTCTCCGCACACATGAAGGTATTGGCAGAGGGACAAAGCCACGCGGGTTCCGGGGCCGAGACCTCCAAGCCTACTCGAATTGGAGTCGAGCATCTTCCACCCAGATCCTCCAAATTCCAGTAGGCGGGGGTCACACCCACCACCTGGCCCCCTGGCGCCGTGTAATCCCATCAGCGGCCAAGACTCAGAGACTATAAAATCCAGATCCCGGAACCGGGCGGCCGCATTCGCGGCTGTGCGACATCTTATCAGAACTTTTTTTTATGACATCTTATTGTCTCATTACTACTTTGGACAAACTTGCAGGCTATCGAATGTAGCCTGCCCACAGGGCAGAGTCTGGCAAACTCCCCGTGGCGTACCAAATATGCCAGATACCAGTAACAATGATGGGTCTCATTCTCCTAAATAGCCTTGAATATAATCTCAGGGCTAGGATGAAAGAGATGTTACTGGGGCCTGCTCGAGGCAATCGACGAATAACAGGATGATGAAATGAAATGAAATGAATCACCAAGTAAATGACACACACAAAAAAACAAACAAAAAAGAATACAGTGGCAGCCATTTTTGTATCAGATGAAATAGCGTTCAATTTAAATAATGTAATGAGACAGGAATGGACACTGCATAATGATTAATAGTTTGATAGAACAAGAGTAATTGATGCTATTAACATACATTCATCAAATGAAGGGGCAGGAAATCTTATAAAGCAACTGTTAACAGACCTAAAAAATTACGTAGATGGTAATAAAACTAATACCCCCCCTCCCATCACTGGATAGATCAAAGAGAAAGAATATCAGTAAGGAAACAAGAGCCCTAAATAAAAAATCGGAAGAACTGAAATTAATTGACACATACAGGACTCTCTAACTTCAAATGACTGAATGCACATTCTTACATGGAACATTCTCCAGAGCATGCCATATGCTGAGTAACAATGCAAGTATCCAAAACGTTTCAGAAATAGAAATGACAGCAAGTATCTTCTCATTTTACAATGCCATGAAGGTAGAAACTAATCATGAAAGAAAGTAGGTAAAAACTCAAATTTTTGGAAACTGAATAAAACACTGTTATATAACCACTGGTTCAAAGGGAAAATCGAAGAAAAATTAAAATATTTACCAGAAAAAGAAGAGAAAGACTAAAGACATAAACTATCAGAACTATGGAACACAACAGAGCATACTAAGAGCAAAGTTCACAGTAATACAGGCCCACATCAGGAAAAAAGAAGCTCACAGTTAATTCACATAGCTGAACAAACTACAGAAAGTACAACAAACAAATTCCAAAGTAAGTAGAAGAATAAAATTATTAAAATTAGAGTAGAAACTACTGATATTGAAATTAAGAAAATAGTGAAAAAGGTAATTGAAACCAGGATCTGGTTCTACAAAAGAATAAACAAGACTAACAAATCCTTAGCTAGTCTAGTGAATTGAAAAATAGATATCCAATTAAGTAGTGTCAGGGATAAGAGGGGAGACACACAGGAGACACCTAAGGAATATAGAAGATCATAAGAGGTTATTATGAACAATTCTGTCTCCACACTGGAGAAATAGATAAATTCTTAGAAACATATAACTTCAAGTACTGAGTTAGGAGGAAGTAAAAAACTTTAAGAGACCAACATCAAGTAAGAAAATTGAAACAGTAATTTAAAATTTCCCAACAACAAAAGTCCAGGTCCATATGGGTTCACTAGTAAGTTATGCCAAACCTTCAAAAATGATGTAACAATCAATATGCCTCAAGGTCTTCCAAAACATCAAAGAAATAGGATCCTTTCAAATAACTTCTATGAAGTAAAAATTACACTTGTACTAAAAGAAGATGGAGATGCTACTAAAAAAGTAAACTACAGACTAATGTCCCTAATGACAATTGATGTAAAAGTCTACAAAAAAAATCTTTGCAAATCAAATCCAAAAGCATAATCAGCTAGGATTCATTACAAGAATGTAAGAAAGATTCAATATATGCAAATAAACTAGCATAATATATAATATCAATAAAACAAAGGGTAAAAACTCTATATATAGAGAGAAAGCTTTTGACAAATTTCAACATCCATTCATGAAAAAAAAACACCTTAACAAATACCTGGAGAATTCCGCAAAATAGTAGTAGCCATTTACAATAAACCTACCATCATATACAATGATGAAAACTATTATATTCCTGAGATCAGGTACAAGAAAAGGAGAAAAGGATGTCCACTTTCACCATTACCATTTAATATAGTTTTGGAAGTCCTTTGCCACAATAATTATCCAAGAGAAAAAAATCAAAGGGATCCAAATTGGAAAAGAAACAGTAAAACCATAGCTATTTAAAGATGATAAAAATATGTATTTACATACATAAAAGATTCACTAAAAATTCTCTTAGAAACAATAAAATAGTGTGTAAAGTATCAGACTACAAAATCAAAACACAAAAAATGTTTCAATTTTTTATGCAGACATTGAATTAGAATAAAGAACAAAAAGTCTATTCCATTTAAAATAGTACCCTCAGAGCTGGAGTGATAGCACAGCGGGTAGGGTGTTTGCCTTGTATGCGGCCGACCCGGGTTCGATTCCCAGCATCCCATATGGTCCCCCAAGCACCGCCAGAAGTGATTACTGAGTGCATGAGCCAGGAGTAACTCCTGTGCATTGCCGGGTGTAACTCAAAAAGAAAAATTAATTAATTAATAAATTAATTAATTTAATTAAATTAAATAGTACCCTTAAACATCATATACATAGGAATGAACTTAAGAAAGCACGTGAAAGACCTATACCATGAAAATCACAGGTCAATCATGAAAGAAATAGAAAACATACAAAAAAATAAAAAAATATTTCATTCATGGATTGAAAAATTTATATTGCAAAAATGTCTATCCTACCCAAAGCACTTCACAGAGTTAATGCAATTCCCATCAAAGTTCCAACACCAGCCTTCAAAAAATTAAAATTAATGTGATAATCCAGAAACTCCCAAATAAATCTCTCAGAAGAGAGCAAATAGTGATGTCTATATGCCATAGTGATCTCTCCGGACCCCACACCAAGCTGTCTTACCCAGGATAATCCAGACAGGGGCAGGTGAGTTACCCACCCTGACCCAACAGAGCTCCAGCAATTGAAAACCTCCAGAACGCTATTGCTGCCATGCTCCCAGCCAGTCTTCACAGGCTTGGATGAGCCTCATCCATGAGTGAAACTGCTGAACTATCCAAGTATGCAGGACTTGTGACTGAAATCTCCTGTGCTTCTGGTAGCCTGACAGTCATACCAGGAACTGACTTTGGTGCAACAAAAGCTCACTAATGGCCATAATCCAGAAACTTCCAAATAAATCTCTTGGAAGAGACCAACACAGAACAATATGCCACAGAGATGCCTCCAGACCCCAAAGTCACCATCCAGTTAAAAAAAAAAAGTAATAACCGGACACACAAACAAATCTCGGACCCAGGCAAATTGCTGCAGAGATGGCCCTGGACATTGCAATAGGCCATTGCTGCTGGGTTGCTCCAGACGGGGCCAGGTGCTGTCCCTCTGCCTGCCCTCTAGGAGCTCTGGCGGCCTCCATTTTCTAGAAGTCAGTGACAAGCTCTAGGTACGAGTGGCAGTGACAACAAATCCTAAGCCTCATGGAACAGGGCAGGAGTGGGCCCTTCTCCTTCCCCTGCCCTGATGGGAGTCCAAGATGACGCCACATCTGGCCACCCTCTACTTAAGCTCCCACTCGCCATGATCCAGAGTCACACAAACGAATCTCAGACCCGAGTAACTTGCTGCAGCAATCTCTTCAGACCCTAATTATTAAAATAAATATCAAAGGGGTCCCCAATTACCTGATTCCATTGACAGAGGAAATAAGTGAGACTATACAAAACTGAAAGTCTC